TTAGCATAAAAGTTTCACGTTTCTTTCTTATTATGCATAACTGTAATGTCTAATCACTGCTGTAGATAATGACATGCAACCAGTGATATCTGGCAATGTTATATGACGAATGTGTCTGATGACTATATATGGTCTTGTGACAAATGGTGTTATAATTACGTTGTCTGACAATATATATGACCAAAGTATCATATCATATATGGTCATTATTTTATTGATAATTGTTAAATCATAGCTACTCTGAGCCACCTAGATATTTGCTAACAGATATATTTTATAATACTGTATTTTTTTATTAGAAACACATGTGCTTACTCTAAATATAAGTGACAAAGACATATTATAATGATTTTGCACGCAGTAAACACACACATATAGTTCTAATAAAGTAAATACAGTATTTCTTATTTGTACTTCATGTCTTCAGAACACGGGAGTTGTTTCTAAGCTTTCTTTAATTGAATGTTGTTTTGAAAATGCTATTGTTTTACAGGATCGTGAAACAGATTGGCAGTGGTCTGTCGTTGGTGGCGTATTACTCGCAATATTATCTACAAGTATAGTAGCAATAGGAAGTATAGTTTTGCGTAAGTGCAACCGGGCCACAAATGAAGAATATATTGAAGATGTTGAGAACACTTATCTTAGTGCGTCACATACTACTATGTAACACATTTAAACAGCCATACTTTTTCCCAGTTGTTTATGTAACCATTTTTTTTTCAAATATGCTACATCACATATTTTCACAGAGATTAATTCATTATCTTTATGAATAGTTTCTGAGATTTTTGCACATTATGATAACATTCACAGAAGCGGGACACTTGGCCAAAATATGGGTATTATAAAATACGTGCATTACTGGGTTTATTTCGAGATCAAACAATATCTTTTCCAGTGTAATATAAATTGATACTCGGCATGAATAGCTACATTTTAACTACTTGCAACGCAAGAGTTTTTAAATCTACATATATTCAAGTTTAACATTTCATTTTTTTGTCGAAGCAACCTTAATAGAGTTTATCGAAATTGTAGATTCTTATTTGGTAGTCAGTTAGAAAGAGATATTTTAACAACATATATAGTAGCTACAAGTGGTTTTCAACACCATGAAATGTATTGACCTTCTGAAGACACATACATGCAGCTGTATACATATACCTAATTTACATCGACTATACCCAAGATAATCACGTTTGATTCAATATTGCGCTTGTAGTGTAAAATCAACGATATATATGAGTTCTTTGAAACATGTTTCAAAATTGAAACTTGTTATTGGAATTATTATTACATATTATGTTTCAATAGAATTACTGTCGAATACATGATAATAATCGGTACTGATAATAGTGTTCTTTTTATTGACTTATATTTGAACTCATTATCATTGAAAACAACTCGCCACTGTGAGCAGATACGCACCTAACTATGCCACACTAACTGACCTCCAAACGGCAGTTTACATCCATGAACATATCTTTCAGTCCCAGGGTAGCTGATATTGCTTAACAGTAATGTGGATCCACAAAGTCACGGTTTGAGATGCAAATGACTAGTGCATAATTGCAAATGTCAGACTATAATACGTGGTTAAAGATATGCAAGACGAAAATGTAAAGTTTGACTCTGTGTTGAAAACGAATTACCAGAAAAAAACTATACGCGTTGGCTCAGTTTCACACTAATAATATTCTCAGCAAAAACAACTGGAAAGAACGCGATCTACTAAAAATAGGTACAACTGAGATAGACGGTGCATGCAGTTTGCGATAACTCCAACTCATTTGAAAGCGATTAC